CCCCAAAACCCCAAAACCCCAAAACCCCAAAACCCCATTGGGAGCTCCCCATGCTGAAATATGGAAAGATGATAAATAAATTCAGAGGTTTAATGGAACTCCTAAGTAGCCTTGCTCAAGGTATTTACGATGTTGTTTCTGTACTGGCCAATCTCTTCCTCTGATATTATCCTCATTAGTTCATCTACTTTGTTCTTCCTTGAAGATTTTGAACTCTTCAATCTTTGTTGTAAGAAGTTGGATGTCTTTTTGGAAGGACGAGTGAAGGTAAGCTTCTTTGGTTCGGCTTTTAGGTTCATGTTCATTCTCTCTGTAATGAAGCTATCACCAAGCTCCTTAATTGAACTCCTTCTAGACTCAGTAGGAGTAAAAACTCTTGCTCTTGATATGATACTAGCCTTTTTGCTTCCCAGAGAATGATTGGCGTCCTCTTTCTTGTTATTTTAAATAAATCTGCATTATTTTTAGAATATTTTGGGATTTTTCCTCCTTGTGATTATATGTGAATTCAGTAGATTTAATAGGAGAGCGTGGCACTTGCTGACGCCTCTCAGTTCTTTGAAGAGAAGTAGGCATCAACTCCCTCCTGAATAGCTGCTTTTTAAAAGGCTTCGTTCTTCTGGAGCTTTCCATGCTCTCTTTAATATGAGCGTCCACTATCTTAGAAAGTTCCCGGACTTGGTGCTTCTTCAAAATGATATAGACAGAATCTGGGTCTTCGTCAAAGCCTGAGCCTGCTTGTTTTTCTTCAGAGAAGCATCTCTCTTTAGAGTCTCTAAAATAAGGTACATTGATCACAGGGCCTTCCCCATCCCTGAGTTTTGGAAGAGCTCTTTTGTTGAACTTAACCTCTTTGTCTTTCAGATTCAAGGTCAGGTTATTTTTGGTATTCATCTGACTGAACTCTTCTAGATTCTGGATTAGTACAAGATAGCAGAAAAATAGAAATTTTAATAGAGGATTTAGTCGTTTTTAAGTTAAGAAATAACATTGGGATGATCGATTCTGCCTTAGATAGTGATAGAGTCGATCAAGATGTGGTTATTGTTATTGAGAAGACTTGTTAGAATAAAATTAATAGAAGGTCTGGAAGAAATATAAGTTGACAAAAACAATTCAACACTTTGTTTTTTAATCCAAGTAAACTGCATTTCTTATGACCCTCCAACTCGTGTATAACTTTGTAGAATAGGTAAGAATCTCCCAAGAAAATTCAGATACTATTATTCACTTTTCATGGAATCTTTTGATATCAAAAAGAAGAGCCATAGGCTTTACTAAGTATCTCTTTTCGAGAATTATGGAGAAAATTTTCAACTGCCTTTAAAATGTGTTGTATTGACCACTTCACAAATAGAGCTAGATAACACACTCACAGTTTGATTGAAATAAAATAGCCTCATCCCTCTCTGGCTTCAGTAGCCACTCAGCTGAACTAAATTGAAGCTAGAGAGGCATACTGCTCAATATTCTTCGATACTCATTTAGCTTTCTAGCTATTGCTATAAAATGAGCGGGTTTTCAATTAGTTACTAATATAGGCTTATTGCATAATTTTTTCAGATATCTCCCCAGTCCTTTTGCAAAGATAAAAATATGCAGTTCTACTGATTCATCATAGAAGAAAATTAACAGGAAGGGAAAGTTTGCTGAACTTATTTCTAGGCGATTTTTCTTCAAGTCATGAAGCTTCTAATTATTATTTTAGCTTAGATGGGGTGATTAAAGCACTAGCTGAGTAGAAATGATTAAAACTGAGGTGTTTTTAGGCAATTTTAGTGAAGCTAGTGGCTCTTCATGTGTTCGTATCCGTCGAAACAGCTCCTCAGTAATTTTTTTACAATATTAGCAAGCTTCTCTTTGGTTTAAACTCAATAACAAAATTTTCAGTCAACTTTTTCGCTCCCTAATTGCATATTCTAAGGCCACTCGAGACACAAGAGGCATGTTGCAGACTACTTATTATAGATTTAGCTATTCCTGATTACTAATCTCCCCATACAGCTCACTCTTTTAAGCTCCTTAAAATGGAGTAAAAGTATGTTAATAAAACTGAGCAGAGCAATAACATAAAAATTCAAAAAATTTCACTCAGTCTAACTTTTTGACAAAAGGAGAGACTTCCTCTATCAGTACTGACTAATAAACTAGCAGTTCTTTCTGCCTACAAAATTGTGCTTGTTAGCAGAGGCTCTTTACACAAAGGGCTGAGGTTTGACTGAGAAGTTTTATAATTATTTCTCAATATTTAATGAGGCAGTCAATTCGAGTAAACCGATATTTCTTAATAAAAAATATTTATTAAGTTGGAGAAAAGTAAGTATAAAAGTTTTAATACAATTTATTTGGAAAAAACGATTGACCATGCAGCAATCGAATTTATACACATAATAGAACTTTTTATGCACGATCAGTCTTGAAGGCGGCTTAGCCGAGGTAAAGAGCTAAATGTGTGCAAAAGAGATATAGAGGTATCTTAACTCTCGGAGGTTCACTAAGCAGGCTCATGAGGCTCTAGTACAGGGTGAAATATTTCATAAGCTAAGGAATAACGAATTTTATAAAAACCATCACTCTAAATTATGGTATCTGCCAATGATAATACTGACTAAGATGTGAGCAATGCGTCATGCCTTAATTCAGAGTTCGGCTAAAACTTAATGGAATTTAGGGAAATTAGGAGTCTTTTGATATTTTTATGGTTTTTATAAATGGCATCATAAACTGTGATATTTAGAAACTTTATTAATTTGACCCTCATATTTCGTAAAATTTGGATATTACAAAAAGTTAGAGATGCTGAGAGAAATATTTGCTTCTAATTGAGTTTGGATAGTCAACCTGAGATTTATTGGCAGGAGGGTTTTATTCAAAGTGATAGGATCCATCTGGAACTTCCTAAATTTGTTTTGAGATAAAAGTATTTCTAAAAGATATCAAACCCTTAGCAGTTGATCAAAGATAGTCTGAAATCACATCCTTGCATCGATGTAAAATTATTTATAGTTGATGGCAATTTCTTATTGAGAAATCGAGGTGGTCAAACTAATTCAACAACTTGTTGAATATTATAAAACCTACCATATTAAAGGAATAGAACCAAATTTTTGTAAAGGAGAGCATAAATATGTGAAATTTTCCCTGTTTTCGGTCAAAATTATAACTAAGATCATTAGCTTAATGGAAGTTTTAATTAATCGGGAGGAGGATTCACTCAATTATCAAAATTCATATTATAAAATTTTAGCACGGTTTAAAAGCACTCAATGAAAAGTTCTACAAATATCGATCTAAATTGATAAACCACACAGCATCTCCCCTCCATCAATACTCCATCTTACCAAAGTCATAAGTTGCATTCTTTGAAGATCTTTTCCTAGTATTTCTCTCTTGACCTCCTCTTCTCTAGACCACCAAATTAAACCCCTCAAACAAAAAGTTTGCCCAATTTCCCTACCTAAAGAAGCAGCTCAAGCTAAAAATTTTAAACCTATCTAGAGAGATACTGAACAAATTTACATCATTTCCTAATTTTTTTAGAATTTAGAGTCTTCACTGACTTAAAAATTTAGAAATCGCTCTTTAGTGTGGTTACCTTGGAAAATCAATTAAGCTCTTGTGGAGAAGCAGGGGTCATTCTGTAGTTAGAACTCCCTCACTTAAAAAACAGCGTTTCCAAATTCCTATTCTTGACCATGTCAAACTTACTGAGCTCTTAAGGCACTCCTTGCATCCACTAGTTTAAAATTTGTACGCACTGAGGAAGTTTTTATGGTATTTTTAAACTGAGGTTTAGGCCCCAAAAGAGGGTTCGACTGCAAGTAATCTCTATTTATTTGTTTCATATTTATACGATAATTTATTAATATCAACCCAACTTTATAAGCTAGGGGTTTTGGGGTTTTGGGGTTTTGGGGTTTTGGGG